AGAACTTTGCAGTTACTGAGCAGACAGTAGAAGCTAGGTAATTCACATCCAAAAGCTAAATTGATTAAAGCAATTGTAAGGGACCTGGGAAGGCCATTAATTATCTTCTAATTAGAAAAAGATCAGAAATTTAACGAGTACCTGTTCTAGTTAGGGTTTCTATTATTGTGATAAAGCATCATGACCAAAAGCAAGTTTGGGAGTAGGAGGGTTTATTTGGCTCTCATAAACTCATCACAGTCCATTAAGTGTCGATGGAGGAAATCAAGGCGGAAGCTGAAGGCAGAAACTGAGGCAGAGACCAAAGACGTTGCTTGAGCTAGGCCTCCTAGATCAGTCTTCAGTCAAAAATAACTTGAGTTTGTGTCAAAATGACAAAACATAGAAACAAACAAAAATCAAGCATGTCAGAACCATTTTTTTTAAATGGGTACTTTTATTGAACTCCATTTTTCAACCACACTTGGTGTTATCTCTTGGGTCCTTAACATTTTGGAGCACGATTATGAAAAAAAAAGCCCAGGGCCCACGTCAGCTGCCATATTTCTGTGTCATCATCATCAGACCCTGGCTCACATAGACATACCAATATCATTTCGTCAGGTCCTCCACTGGACTGTCCATAGGGGGAGCTACAGCACAATCTAGACCTAACTCAGAGAGTCTCAACATCGACTATGGTTCCCCACCCTCTAACAGTGCAAGGTGTCCTACAGCTAAGATTCTATACAGTAGGGCTAGAGAGATGGTTCGTGGATTAAGAGCACATACGGCTTTCTTTTCTGGAAGACCCCAGTTTGATTCCCAGCGTACACGGCAGGCACCTCACAACCACCTATACTCCAGCTCCAAGGGAATCCAACACTTTTGGATTCCGTGGGTATATTCCATACAGTTGCTTTCAGCTGAACAAATGGCTGTTTGTCTCTCTGGTTGCCAAGAAGACAACCATCATCTTGTGTCTACTCTCCATTCTTGTTTCATTCGCTCTTTCTTCCACCCTTGTGTCTCTACAACCACACCTCTCAATCTTTCCCAGAATGCATCAGCATGGACTTGTAGCCTGGTTTCCAAAACAAAACAAAATAGAAATCTCAACCAATAGATCCTAAGGCAATAATGGTACCCCCTAGAGATTCAGACTTTCAATGTAATGTATGAATCCCCTATGTGGTTGAGTTCTGCTGTAAAACATCAGGGGAGATATTTGCATAAAGAGGAGGCAATCCTAGTCCTATTCTTTTGTTCTTATTCTGTCTAAACAAAGTCAATACTATTAAAATCTAAGTAAATGCTAAGGAGAAATCCCCAGGATGCTACAAAGAGTTTGCCTTCTGTTTCCATTTCTTTTACAAATTGGCTCAGTGCCATGGACCCTGTGGAGCGACAAAGAAATTTTTTAAAATGCAGAGGAGAAGGAAGTACCCTAGAATCTGCTTTTCCTCAAAAAGACTCTGAGGGTTAACTGGCCCTGAGATGTGTGATCCACGGTTCTTTTTCAAAGCACAGCAGCTGACTTGTCCAGCTGGCTGGAAAACAGTAACTGGCCTCGAGTTGGCCATGTACAGGTTCAAGACTCTGGTCTGCCTCCAAGTGATGTCTGGCACCCCAGTCATCTGGTACTGATAGTTCCTAAGGCTTTGGTCTGTAGCTGTTAGAATGAGCACAGGGATAACTGTTCTCTCACCCTTATGATACAGTTGTGAAAATAGCTTCAGCTTTCTCTTCTGATTGCCTTTGGCATCTGGATTCCTTTTGGTTGTGTTCTTTACAGAGACTGGTTTTTGCTTTTCTCCCTCACATCTGGATCCTAGCCAGAGTATACCAGAACAAGCTATTTCTAACATTTGAACCCTTTTGTAAGCATGTTGATTGCAACTTGGACCACCAGTTTCATGCAAGGTAGATGCTCTCTGCTGCTTTGAGGGGGAAAGAAGTAAATGTCTAAAAATAAAACCTCGGCATAAAAATAGGGCCAAATGCTCATTAACTGTCTCACTTAGCTGAAACTATTTCTATAGTGTTAAATCGAGCTTTTGTGTACTTTATTCATGGTACTTTATCTTAGATGATAAGTAGGTTACTGTAATTAGCCATTTTATTCAAAATACATGAATTAAATTGTCTCAAGGACCCAATTTTCAGCTCATGCTTCTACTGACCCTTGGACTGGAGTACTTGTGTTCATGAGTCTTTGGGAATTTGCATTATTGGCTACTATGGGGGAGGTTGAAGAAGGAGTTGGAACACTGAGAGCTTCCTGTGCAGGGGGAAGAATTTAAATCTTAATCTCCATGGTGGGAAGCTACTCCAGGATTGCATTAGGATAATGTCATGGAATGAGTTTTATATTTTAAAAATATGATTCTTGACTGTTGTGTTTACAACAGTATAAGGAAGTATAAGGAAGCCAGGGCAGACAAGGATTATTATCCAGATGTCTATTATTGGATTTCATCATAAGAGACAGCAGTGCTTTGGAGCAGCAGGATGACAGAGGAGTGAGAGAGAAGTAGACAACAGACAAGTCTATGGTCTTGAGGAACTGGAAAAAAAGCTTAGTTTTTGGCTTAAACAACTAGAAGAATTTGGTATCGGTGATCAGAATGAATACTTGAGGGAACACATGATAATCCTTACTGTTCAATTTCATTTGAGTGCAAAATAATGAAAACGGGGCTAAGGCACACATCCTAGGCTCATACTGTCCTTGTGACATCTACAGATAAAACAGGTCAAAGACCCTAGCTCATTAGAGAAGTTTCTGAATCCTTGGTTCCCGACAGCATTTAGTTCCATGGAATAAAGGAGCTCACATGCAGAGGTTATGGGTAGAGGAAGAATACTTGGGAACATTCCCACTTCTACACAAAAGGGACAATCACAGCAGGACCAGAGAAGGACCAAGGGATCCAATCGAAGGAAAAGCAGGGAAAACAGTACCTTGAAGCCAGAGCAGAGAATGGGGGGAGAGAAGAGCTAGCAGTCATCTGTGCTGATGGCACTCTGGGTTTGAGTAAGATGACAAATGGTATCAGATGGGAGTTCTTGATGACAATCACAAAGGCGAATTTTGATATAACCTACAAAGACAAAGCCTGAGTAGATAAAGTTGAGCCTGTAAAGGAAAAAATGGAGATACTTTCTTAGTGAATTCTTTTAAAGATTAAAGAAATGAGAAATAGGTAGACACATATGCATATTCAGACAAAAAATGTTCATACAAGTAAAGTAAAAATAAATAAATCTTTGAAAATATGAGCTTACTAGTTACTAATATTCCCATTCATAGATTCTTGGTTTTTTTCCTTTTTTTAATTTTAGTTAGAAACAAGCTTGTTTCACATGTCAATCCCAGCCTCCTCTCCCTCCCCTTCTTCCCATCCCTCTCCACCAGGCTCCCTTTTTTGTTTGTTTGTTTTGTTATTTTTTTTGAGACAGGGTCTCTCCGAATTGTTTTGGAGGTTGTCCTGGACTCACTCTGTAGACCAGGCTGCAGCAAATATTGACCCTGTTTTTATTTTAACATTTGTTTTTGTCTTTGTTGCTCTTCTGATTTTTATGTCTCTACATTTTAATATAAAATGAACAAGTTTCACAGAAAATGAACACATTTTAATAGAAAATCAGGAAATGAGTCAAGTTGAAGAAACTCTTTGGAAAAGTCGCAAATTTAATTAAAAATTCCTTCTAGCCTTTAAGATATAAAACTGAAACTATAAATTATTATGCTACTGGGTTTTGTTTAGATGGAGGAGTCTAATTTAAATTTGTAGAATAATCCTAATCATTCTAAAATGTGATATCTTATAGCACATTTAAAGCACAGTCTCGATTGTAGAATGGCCACATGATTCTTCAGAATCTTCTAGTGCTTTTAAAACAAATTATAGGCTATTCTTAAAGACACTGTTTATCAAAGAGGAAAAATTAAGTATGATCCCATCATTCAAGAAAATCAGTTCTATTTTATGTGATACTATGTTGTGTGTGGACAAGTAACTAATCATCTATATTAGTCACTTGTCTGTAGTTATAATAACACACCATGACCAGAAGCAACCTACCAAAGAAAGAACATATTTGGGCTTACAGTTCCAGAGGGACAAGCATCCATCATGGTGGAGAGTCATTATAGCAAGTGACAGGAACAGAAATCAAAGAGATCATGTTTTTAACTACAAGGACGAAGTGGGGGCTGGGGGCTGGAAATGAGACCAGACTTTGAACTCTCAAAATCCACAATCTATCCAGTGACATACTTCCTCTTCTTCTAGCAAGGCCATACCAAGTAAACAAGACCACCGACTGGAGACCAAGTGCTCAAATACCAGAGATTATGGGCAGTATTCCTCATTCAAACCACTGATACTAGTGTCATCCCCCACCCCCATTTTAACAGCAGGCTTGTGGTGTGCACCAAGGTTGATGTCATTCATTAGCTGTTCCTAAGTGTGATTATAAACAACACTGTAGTTATCATTGGCATTTAATATTGAATTCAGTTCGAGTTTAGTATATTTTACTATAAAAACAATGTATTCACACTGTAGGAAGCTTTATAAATAACAGCTATTGTCTAGAGAGCCACCGTAGGATCACTGCCAAATCCCTTTTCATTCCGAAACCGTTTATCAGTGACTAACATACAGCACACCCCACTCTGAATGGGAAGTCCACCCTTCAGTATTAACACCATAATGTAGATTTGGTGATGGGTCCTGCTAGAATCTTGTATGCAAAAAGGTGTGTGTTTCAAACAGACAAACAAAAAACAGGAGCGTGGTGTTTAAAGTTGTATTATAAATGTTTTCTTTTCCTATGCTGCAGGAAGAAGTTCAATGCCACTGAACTCATATAATATTGTGTGCAATGGCTATGACAGATTATTTGTGTGAATGCATAATAACTTAATCTCCTGGAGTCAGACACTGTAGTTCTTTTCAGTCGTCTACTGCGTTACGGTCCATAACATGATTTTTTTTTCTTCTTTTCAACAGCACAGTTAACATGACCTCCACGAGACATGAAGGCACAGGCACTACTGTATTTCTTCTTTGCTGTCGCACTGTACCCTTGTGGATCTCACGGTAACTTCTTTTGTAATACAGGTGTTAGTTATTTGAATCGCTTGAGATTAGCAGTAGCACAAAAAGTAAATTGGCTATAGATTGCACACGCCTTATCTAAACTGCTCCAAAATGTAAAACATTCTGAGCATTGACAGGACACTATCATCGGGCTATGCCACAGCTGACCTCATGTGACAGGTGACAGTGAAAGCACAGATGGAAAAAAAAGTTCTTTCCCCCAGTCATCTCCTTATGTATGTTCAAATATTATAATCTGAAAAGTCCAAACCAGCTCTGATTTCAGTTGGGGGAGGGGGAATTAAGCTGCATCTCTGCAGCCCTGGGGCAGTCCTTAGTGATCAGTTTATGCCTTAGCAGAAACAGCAGCCCAGAAGTATAAACAAATGTTAAAAACCACATCTTCTCTGTGCTCTATTAAAGCCGTCTCTAATATGCTATCTGCTACCAACATCACTACAAAGGGAGGTGTGACTGATACAGTTTCAGAGTGGAAGTTTGGTACCCAAGTTTGACAGATTTCCAAGGTTCTATCACTGGCATTCTTTCTTTTTAAACCATCATTAACATTTTCATTTTAGAGTATGCCATCTAGATAAACTGTTTTCATAAGCATCGAATCATAGAAGGTTTATCACACAGACATAGAAGAGGCAGCATTAATTAGCATCATAGCAGAAGTACACAAAAGTCCTTTACATATTGAGTCAGCTTGTGCTGGGGAAGTTAAATTCAGAACCTTCAGCTGAACACAGTAATGGGGCTATCACACTGGCAAAAAACAAGATTTTCGATCACTTACAGACTTAAAGCTTTCCGTTACACATACATTCTGTGTAAGTGTAGCATATATAGTATATAAAACACATATGTAATAATATATGATAGCAAAACACATTCTTTTTATTGAAAGTAATTTTTATGCAATATGATTTGACCATGGTTCCCCCTCTCTCATCTCTTCTCACGTCCTCCTCACCTTCCCAACCACCCAACTCCATGTCCTCTTCTTCCATCTCTTCATAAACAAATAGGAAAAAACTAGAAATAGTAATCAAAATAATAATAATAAAGAAGCAAGGAAAAGGTATAAGAAACACCCACACCCACACACAAACTATTGAAAAACAAAATCACAATCGGTAATATACAAACAAAAGGCCAGTAAGGTTAAAAGAAATGTTCAGACAAGGTAATATAAGACAAAAACAAAATTAAAAAACTCTCCAGAAATACCATTGAGTTCCCTTTGTGTTGGCCATCTGTTGCTAGACACTGAGTCAGCCCTGTAATGTGGTTTATACACCTAGTGAAATTCCACTGGAGAAAATTAATTTTCCCTTTGCCAGAATTGTCCATTGGAGATAGTTTGGTCAGTGGTGGGAGTTTGGGTCTACTTGCCCCTATCAGCACTCAGACCATATCTAGCTTAGCTTGGACCTGTGCATGACTTGTGCATACTGCTATGGTCTCTGTGCCTCAGTTCTGATAAAACTGTTGTTTAGTCAGGACAAATCGATACAGAGTGGTTTATTTATGTTTATTCATTTATTTATTTTCATGTACAATGGGGTTTTGTCTGCATATATGCCTTTGTAAGGGTTTTGGGTATCCTGGAACTGTAGTCACAGACAGTTGTGAGCCACCATGTGGGTACTAGGAATTGAACCCAGGTCATCTGGAAGAACAGTCAGTGCTCTTAACCACAGAGCCATCTCTCCAGCCCCACAGAGGTGTGGGAGGTGATTAAGTAGCAAGGTCATCCAGATGCCGGGATCTGCATCCAAATATAGTGAAAACAGCCTTTTCAGGGCTTTTTACACATGAGAAGCATGTAACCCTTTAGCCTTTGTAAACATGTAAGATGTAGATACACAACTGAAAGTCACAGGTGCACAGCTCATTGAATGTACAGAAACCACTTTAGAACAGCTGCTTGCAAAGCAGTCATTTAAAACACGATAACCCAGACAGACTCTTGAATGACCCTTTACTTTTTGTTGTTTTATTTGTTTTAAATGTTTTCATTAATTCCTTGAGAATTTCACACAATATACTTTGATCATATTCACTCTTCCAACCCCTCCCATACACACCCTCTCCATCTCCTTACTCACCCAACTTGAAGATGAGGGATGAGTTATGTGTTGATCTATGACTATATAAATATGTGATTAGGAGTTGTTTGAGTGCTGTGTTCATTTAGCTGAATAATATTTGATTATATAAATATGTCATATTTTCATTATCCATTATCAGGCATTGGACATCTAGGCTGTTTCCATTTCCTGGCTATTGTGAATAAAGGAGCAATTAATACTGAAGAACAAATATCTCTGTTTGAGACACACTGACCTTTGAGCACCTGTATGAGCCTGGTAGAGTTGGGTCATGTGGTAGATCTATTTCTAGCTTTTTGAGGAAACTCCACACTGAATTCCATAATGGCTATACCAGTTTGCACTCTAGCAGTGGTGAATAAAATTTTCCCTTTCTCCTTATCCCTGTCAGCATTTTCTGTCTTTTTTTTTAATCATGGCTATTCTGATTGGAGTAAAACAAAATCTCAAAGTAGTTTTAATTTGCATTTTCCTGATGGCAAAAGATGCTGAACATTAAAAAATAAAACTGTTTCTCCTTTTAGAAGAAATTTGTATTTCATCTCCATGTTTAGTTCCATGCACCATTTTAAAATTTCAGTCTTTATTTTCTTGATGTTTCATTTCTTTGATTCATTTGTATATTCTAGACACCAACCCTCTGTAAGATTTTTAGCTGGTACAAATTTTCTTCGTTCTGTAGGCTGTCTCTTCACTCACTGCTTGTATGCTTTGCTGTACAGAAGCGTTTTGGTTTCATGTGGTCCTATTTATCAGTTATTACAGTGGAACCCTACAGGGGCTGGGCCTTGCAGCTATAAAATCAGTGGTCACTTCTTTTCTTCCTTACCAGCCCATGTGTTTTTCTTAATGTAATGCCACATCTCTCAAATTTGCTTCAGAGACTCTGTGTCTCTCTGAGAAAGACTAACAAAGCATGGCTGAGAGAAACATCCGCAGGGGAGTGGGCGAAGGGAAAAGGCAGAAGAGAGTCATGCCAGCACTCAACTGCTCAGTCTTAGGCAGTGCTGGCAAAAATCCATATGCTCTTATTCCAATGTCCATAATACATGGCCCTTTCTTACCTTGTATCTTAGAATTCAGAGAAGAAAATAGGACCTACTTACAAGTGGTATCTTTAGTCAAAGAAGTAGATACTGCTTTCAGTGCAATAATGCGGTTAAGTTGTTTTCATTATAAAACCCTTACTTGTGTATGACTTATTTTGACTTTTGAAATCTTCTCACACTCACAGCAAAACAATAGCCAAATCTGATAAATCGAGAGGATTAAAATTTTATATTTATGCCTGGAATAATATTTCCCAAATCTCATTTTTCTGACTCAAAGTATTGTGAGCATGATCTATATGATTTGAATGTGGTTTGGCCCCCTCCAGACTCACATGTTAAATATTTGGCTTCCAGCTACTAGTGTTATTTTGAATGGTTCTAGAAACCTAGGAGGTGGGAACTGTAACACATACTGGAAAATTGTCACCTGTGTGTACATGGAGGTACAGAAAAGGCTGCATCGTTGAATGGTTAAGGGGGAGGTTCTTGTTGTGAATAAAAAAGAGAAGATGTCCAGAGGCATATACAAGAGTCCAGAGCAGAGCAAAGGAGAAGCAGACTGAACATGGCCACGACTGTCTGTGAGAGATGGGAGAACAGCAGGGGAGAATAGGGGAGGCAATGAGATAGCAAGAGAGCAAGAAGATAGCAAGACAGAGAATAAGACGGTAGATGGGTTACAAGGAGGATGAGAAGCAGTAGCTGGGAGACTTGAGGGGAAGGCCCAGGAAACTACCATGGTCTTTAAATTTTGTAACAAGTAGTTGTAAGTAGGGACTGATGCAGCCTGGAGGCCAGCATGGGTTTTGATATGCAACCACATGTATATGTCAATCGAGAGCTGTATGTCCCTTATGCCAGAGGTAAAGGAAATGACTCCTTTTAGAAGATGGGCACTGGTTTCACAAATTCCTGAGGAATGCTGACTTTTACCTAACCACTAGATATCCTGCTGTAGTCCAGTGTGAGCTCTTTTCTGAATATATGAACTTCCTGAGACATAGCAATGTGCTAATTGTTTGAGGGCAGGTTCTGAGACCACGGGGCCCTGCCTCATATAATAATCAAGCATGGTTTTAGCTTGCATCTTCTAAAATCCTGTCCAGAGTTAGGGTGACCACTTGGCTCTCTGTAACAGGGAATACAGATGAGGAGCAAACAGATAAACACATAAAAACATTGTGTTAATGTGAGCAGCTAGAAGCCAAATCATTCCTTACAGACATTACTATTGTTTATCTTGTGATATAAAAATGCTTTCAGTGGGAACAGGAAGCTACAAGTTTATCAATGGGGAGACTCTCAGTTGGGAACTCCAGCAGTTATTTGATGGTGTTACCTTTGTTTACTCTCTCACTCAGGCTAATCTAGTTATTTCTGCTTGATGCTATAAGCATGTGATGGATGGTGTTTTGCTCTGTCTTCAGATTCTACCTTTCTGCTGCTTGCTATTTGTTCTTTTACTTTTGCTTGCTACATGCTTAATAAAGTAGCTTATTTGAAACTGAAAATATGGCTATTGCAAATCATTTTCCAGATTACACTGAATAGTCTCTTGGTTGGAGGAAGTAGGTCATTGTGGATATCCTTGAGAACGATACCTTGCTTTTGTCCCCTCTCCTTTTCTCTGTCACCTCTGCCAGATGCTTCCACCATCATGATGTTCTGCCTTACTTCAGACCTGGAAACAATAGAGTCATCCAGGATGGACTGAACCCTCTGAAACAATGAGCCAAATAAGTATTTCTTCCCTTAGGTTGTTTTTATCAGGTGTCTTCTCACGATGATGAAAAATCACTAGTACAGTTCTAAAGCCAAAGTCAATACATTACTTCATTTCTCTTTTTAGTCTCCTGCCTATGTTGGCTTTGGCTGAGAGTATCTTCTAGACTACTAACAGACTGTTGAACCCAGAATTGTCTTTTAAATTCTCAATATAATTATTGACTCAATAAAACTAATTTCTCCCCAGTTTTAGGGCCTTCTGACTCTAGCAAGCTTCAAAACCTATTAATATTGCAGTAGGAATCAAAGGTGAATTCTTTCATATTGAATCTTACTAATACTATAGCAGTGATTTGGAGAGAAATGGATTGTTGTTCAAGTGGGTTACAAATTAATATGCTTAAGTGTTGGACAGTTGCCAATCTCACAGTTATTTTGACTCAATTCAACTGCAAAGGAAGATACTCTGTCATAATATCAGGGTTTGTTTCCAATGGCTACCAAGTTAGAGATTATTGAAATGTGGTGAGGCTATTCTTCTAGGTGGTTCATTCAGTCTGTCTTGACATAAGCTCTGTGATAAGCACCTGTCACTAACCCTCTTCATTTTGTCTCTGCTCCCCATGTTAGACTTATTCTTCCCAGTCCCCTTCAGTCACCTTGTGAGTAATAATGAGCAACTCATTCTTGGAAGATATGATGAAGATGTAATTCTCCCTTGCCCATTTACAAGTGGGGCTGACATTGTAATTCACTGGAGAAACCAGAATAATTATGTTCACAGTTACTTTGGTGGCAAGGACCATTTGGAAGCCCAGTATTTTAGATATGAAAACAGGACATCCCTCTTTCATGGTGAAATTCACAATGGGAACGCCTCTCTAACTATCAGAAGATTGAGCCTTCTGGATGAAGGAATTTATAGCTGCTATGTGGGAACAAAAAATGAACGTACTGACCAAAGAGTGGTGCTAAAAGTGGGAGGTAAGTATTTATGTAAATTTTAGTAAGGCATAATGATATAATTTGATATGATTCTGAAACAGCTTTTTCTGAACTTAATATAAGATCTTCCTTTCAAGTCCTTACAACTCTACCTTGCATAATTTCATAGCTAGTGCTTATAACATAATGTCTCATAGTATGGACTTGCTATGATTGATATAACCATTTGCCCTATTGGTGGGTATTCAGGGATTCCAGTGTTTTCCACCACAGACTCTGTTGTGGTGAGTGTCTTTATAGTTACATAAGATGATTACAAATTATCTGAACTAAAAGTACCACAAGTAAGGTTTTGATATTCCAATACTATTGGCAGCATAAGGACATTCATTTCCCTGGTAGTTCTATCAGTGCTGAGTATCATTAGTATTAAACAACTCTTCCAATATGGTGATGAGAAATACTGAATTAAATTTAACTTGCCTATTTGTAATAAGATAGAAGTTACCATTGATATTGCATGATTTTACCCTCTCTGTAGCAGCTATTATGTAACTCTAGCCATACTATATGATTAATGCACTCATGGTTAAGTTTATATTTAATTAAACTGGAATCCAATTAAAACTTAAGAAACAAAATAAATAATTTCATGGCCTATTCATAATCATACTACCAAGAATTCTTGTTGATATAACATGATGTTGAGTGTGCTTATCATTGACAAGGTATGTTAGACAGTATTCTTCATTTCATAGACAATTTTACTGCTATTAAGAATTTATTGTTAGTTCAGTTGTATTTTGCTATTTTAAATACATGAATATAGGTGTTAGATAAATTTTATCATAAACAATCCCCATGCCCTATTTCTACCTTCTCTTGGATCTATGTACTCTTCCCAACTTCATGTTCATTTTTTCTTTTTAAATAATCCACTGTATCTAATTAGTGCTTCCCATATATGTACGTGTATGAGGCCATGTACTAGACCATGGTCCACCTACTAGGTGGTCATACTCCTAAAGAAAACTATCTCTTCACTAGTAGCTGTCAGTAGCCCCTCAGTCAGCTTATGTGCCTTGCCTTCCCCATGCTGGGATGTTGACTAGTTTGATTTTTTTCATATCTTATGTAGGGAGACATAGCTGTTGTATGTTTATGAGTACATTTGTTCTGTCATATCCAGAAGACACTGTTTTGTCACAGTACTCCCCAACCTCTAATGGTTACAATCTTTTTTTCCATTCTTCTTCAATGGTCCCTGAGCCTTAGAAGGAGTGCAAGTGTTACAGCTCTGGAGGGAAAGTCAGGCTATACCTAGTGATGGGAGGAATCCTGATACCTACAGCTGTGAGGAGAAAGGTATCTTGACTGGTGGGGAAGTCAGACTATATCTGAGGCTGGGGTGTAGTGGGGAATGGTCTCCTTGCAGGATGTAGCTATCCAGCTCCTCTCTGAGAGAGTTATTAAAGCTCTTCCCCTCCCAAAGGAGCTTCCCAGAGAAAGTATCCATTTCTTCTCAACTCCTGCCCAAGATGTTGCTTCTTCTGCTGTACTCTGCAAAACAGGAAACTCCTGCAGAAATGTAGTGATCTGCTCTAGCTCTGGCAACGAGTTGTTACTTCCGCTCCACTCACAAAGGAGTTTCCCAGCAGAAGTATCCATTTTTTCTTCTGCTCAGCTCTCCTAAGGCAATGTCCCAGCAGTGCTGGTGAAAGATCTTCACCCAAAACTCTGCTAAGCAAAAGATGTCTTTGGGAAGAAGGAATCCAGGAGAGTGGCTGTCTCTGCCAGGGTGAAGAAGGACAACTGATAACTGGGCAGGAAGTGAGGCTCATATAGAGCTTCTTAGGAGTGGAGTTTTTCAGGAGGGAATCAGGATCAGATTTTGATCGCCCTGAACTTGGAAAAACTCAGATAGGCTAGTTTTCCTGCTCAGGAATTGATTGGTTTCATGTTCAGTTGGTCAGGGGCTCTGGTTTCAGGGCTAAACTATTTTTCCCCTGGCCCCTTTTAACATTTTGGCTATGTTATCAGGGCCAGTGTGTATTTCTTTCACAAACTCTGGTTCCAGGATCAATGTATGTTCCTTTGTCTCTTGTTTCATGGTCAGGGTGTGTTTCTTTGATTCTGGTTATTAGACTAAAGCGTTTCTTTCACTGGCTCTGGGTTCAGAATCAGGATGCTAGATTTTGTGCTCAGGGATTGGTTAGTTTTCTGCTCAGAGACTGGTTACTGGTTGATTTTCCTGCTCAGGAATTGGTTGGTTTCCTGTTCAGTTGATCAGGGATAGATTTGGCTCTGGTTTCAGGGCCAAACTGTGTTTCTTTGGCTCTGGTTTTGGGGTCAAGGTGTGTTTCTTTGGCTAACCCTTTTATCCTACAAGGGGCTTGTGACATGGATGTCTCATATATGGCTCAGCATAGGTTTTTAAGAAACAATGCTATTAGAGAACATAGTGTGGTAACATGTATTTGTAATTCTAGTACTAGGGAGATTGAAAAATTAGGATCTGTGGATTGAGGCCAGACTTTAATCCATGAAAAAACCTGTTTAAAAGGAAACAAAACAATTATAAAGCTATTACATAAGTGACTATATACATATATATATATATATACATGTGTGTGTATGTACACATACACATACATATACATATACATTTATTTGTTGTAGGGTAGCAGGCTGGAAGAGAAATCATATTTCTCTGAGGTTCACTGGCAAGTGAGTATGAGTACATCTAAGTGTGTGCACAGCTAGGGTGTTCTGTATAATATAGTGGTGTAGAGTATTGCATGCTTCTGGGGGATATCATCTATTTTTTAAATTTAATTCTTCCTCTGACTATTTCTTCCTCTGACTGATTTAACAGTTCTATATCTTGACTCAGAATTGTATAATAAAAGTAAAACTCAAATAGGCTGAGTCAGGAGCTAAGGAGTCCAGAAAGTGCTGCATGAACTCTGCAGATTTTGACCCTGTTTTCTTGCCCAGTGAGGCCACTAAGTTTGTCAGATAAAGTTCTAGAGACTAATGATTTTTATTTGTTGTGTACCCATGCATATTCTTTCCATTCTTCCAGAGCAGCAATACCCAATCTGAAGCTTCTTCAGTTTTTGTTTGGATTTAATTTTTATATAAACAAATGAGAGATCTTGTTAATAAAACTTAACCATTATTATAGAGGTATTGATAAAGAAACTAGTGGCCATGATTCTTCATAACTCACTGTTTGTTTTGTGCAGCTTTCCACACACCTTTAATGAAATATGAACAAAGGAACACAGAGAGCTTTCTGGAATGCAGTATCCTGAGTATTTATCCTCATGCACATATCACATGGAAAATGGATAATGCAGATGTCTCTGAAAGCAATTCAGAAGAAAATAGTACTCTGGGTCCTTTTTATATTAAAAGCACACTGAATATTACAGGATCAAATTCATCCTTTGAGTGTGCTATTGGAAATTCACTTCTCAATCAAACATGGAGAGGAGAGTGGACGTTGGCAGGTAGACTTCATTGAATTTTCTGCATACAAGGGCTATGTCAGAATCCGGGAGTGCTTGTGATAGATCTATAAGGAAACAAACAAGAAAAAAAGTCTGCGGAAGGGATAATTTGTGTTGCATAGGTTCTGAGCATCAGTTCCTATTCATAAAATAGAAGTACCTACCTTACTAAGTGTTTTCACACTGAAACAAAACACTGGAGATCAGTCCATGAATGTTTGTTTATCTATCTATGGTTCCTTCTTCAAATAGGATTTCCCATCTGCACAGGAATATGTGTCTGTTAGAAGATTACAGCCCCTGATTTTCTCCATTTGAAAGATTTAACTATTATTATTGCTGGTGTTTACACAGTGGTCTTTTAAAGTATTTTTATTTTACTTGTTGGAGGAAATGTAATGTACGTTGAGCAAGAGGAAATCAGAGAATAATCTGCAGGAGTTGGTTCTCTCCTTCCACCATGTGTATCCTGGGAATTGAACTCAGGCTGCTAACTTAGCAGCAGGTGTAGTGCTCCAGAATGCTTCTTCAGGGTGGAAGAGTTAAAATCCAGGAGCTTTCCTCCCTGGAATATTCCATTCCAGCACAACTCCAAGGTCTAATATAACCTTAGAGGGAAATGTTAAAATAGAAACAGGGCAGCTTTTCTTGTAGGAAACTCTACAATATAGATATCAGAAAGCTTTCCCCACAGACTTAAGTACTGTAGCTTGTATTCCTTCCTAATCTTAAGTGTAATTTAGAATATCCATCAGACATTTTGGTCTTCACTAGTTTCCTTTTTGGTTTTGTTTTTAGGTAGTCATTGGATGAATCAAAGTGAGTCCATTTCACTCTGGTGTACAGTCAGCCGCAATTTTTCTCTACAAAATGAAGACTTCCATGTTACTTGGTCCAGAGTAGAAAATGGGATATATTCTGTCTTGGATTGGCATCTGAACTATTCACAGGACACCACCACTAATGACCCTCAATTCTCACGGAAGAAAGAGCTAAGAAATCACAGTGGCTTCCCCATAACATTGAAACATCTTCGTGCTTCAGACAGTGGGGAATACTTGTGTAATGTTTCTTCAACTGAGTATACATTACTCACAGTGCACAGGCTGCATGTAGGTAAGTTGGAAATAGGGCAGGCTGATGTTTTTGGGGTGTTGCTACAAAGGTTTGTTAAGACTTTTCAAAATGTCATTGATGGAAACACCTTTACTCATGGTGGTAGGCAACATGCCATCTTTTGATCAAAGTTACTCTCAGAAGATTGCCTTTTCACTTTGTCTGTGTTTAGAAATGAAGGTAATGTGTACAATTTGGTGGCTCTAAGGTAAGTACCTTCACCTCCTCTTTACTGTTGCATGTAGCATACACCTTAGGGTCTTGGTTTAGGAGCTTAGGCTGTAGGCACTAGGGAAGTTTGGATGCTGAGAAACATGGTGATGTCTATTAACTTGGTGGAAACAATCGCATGGTATTTGAAGCACTAAGGATGTACCTTTTCTGCTCACTTTTTACCCCAGTCAGTTGCCAAAATTCTTTGTTTATAAGGAATTCTCCTAGTCCACTGACCAGACTCCGGGAATGTGTGACATGAAATTGGCTTTCTGGTGAGGTGGCTGCCTACCCTCCATTCTATCACCCTGGCATAGAGGAAACCCTAACAGTTCTCTTTCATCCCTTAATAAGGGTATTTGGCATTGTGATAATTATTACGTGTTTTGTGAATTTTTATGTGTCTCTGTTGTGGTTTCCAAAGAAAGCTTCTATGCTGAATGACAAAGCTCCTTCTGATGATATTGAAAAAGTAAAGATGCATTTAAACTTCCTACTTTTCTCCCCAATAAGAGTGTTCATTCTATGTAAAATGCAGTGAAGACCAAATTCTATTTTAAAACTGTTGCCTTATAATGGATTCATTTTGGAGTATAGAAAAACAATCAGGAAGCATGTGTCTGAAGGCTACATATGTCCCATCTCCTTAAGCAGAGATTTAGTTTTTAGTTCATCCAAAGTGAAGCATCAGGGCAATTCCAGCTCTGAATATGTTTTTTTTTCCAGAATCTTGCATCCTCAAACATACCCGGTTCAGTATGGCCAGGGAAATTCTGCCCACATTCCCCAAAAAGAGACTTGTAGCAGGAACATCCCAGTGGGGAACTGGGCATGAAGTTTTCACTAAGCTTTGGTTTCTTAGGTCCTTTTCTATTGCTCTGGCAAAGCATCATGAAAGAAAGCCTTTAATTGGGGCTCACAGTTGCAGAGGGTTTAGAGTCCATGACCATTACCACAGGGAGCATAGCAATAGGCAGCCCAGCATGGTGCTGGGACAGTAGCTGAGAGGTTACACCTAATCCACAAGCAAGAGCAGGGAGGACTAAGCTAAGTGGCAATTAACTGAAATTTCAAAGCCTACCCCCCCCAGAGACACACCTCCTCCCACAAGCCACACCTCTAATCCTTCTCAAACAGTTCCACCAACACCCAAGCACTCAAATATATAAGCCTTTAGAGGTCATTTAAACCACCATATTCTACTCCTTAGTCCCCAGAGGATTATGGCCAAATTACAGTGCAAAATGTATTCAATTCAACTTCAAAAGTTCTGCTAGTCTTTCAGTCTCAAAACTATTTAAAAGTCCAGTCTTTTCTAAGACTTAAGGTGATGTCTTAACTATTACCAGCTATAAAATTAAGATAGAAACCAAATCCTTTAACTCCATGTCTGATATCAAAGGGCTTTGGCCTTCCAGCTTTGCTCACTCCAAAACAGTTGACGCTTTTGAGATGGTTCCTCTCTCTGTATGTAGCTATTCTTGAATCTAGCATTGCCAGCATCTTGGGGTCTCCAACACAATCCAGGTTTCACCTTCAGAGCTTTAACCAGTGGCCTTTCCAGGCCACCATGCAGGGAGTCCTCAGACATTCTCCTTTAAAATTTTTAGTTAATCTATTGTCTCATATATCACATCCTAACTGCAGTTTTTCTTCCTCTTCTCCTCCCAGTCCCCCATCTCTTCCCCTGCTCCTCCATTTCCCTTCAGGAAAGAACAGGCCTCTCAGGAATATACCAAATTTTGCAAATCAAGTTGCAGTAAGGTAGGCACCTCTCCCTATGTAGCTGGAGTTTCTGTCCCACCTGGTCCCACTGCCTTTCAGTCCCAAATAAGCTCACAGAGACATATTCATTATTAAACTGTTGGTCGATGGCTAGGGTTTCTTACTAGTTACTTCTCTCTTAATTATTAACCCATAACTATTAATCTATGTATTGTCACATGGTCATGGCTTGCGAGAGAATGCCTGGGCCTATTCCTCCTTTGGCAACTACATGCCCATATTAAGGCTACATGAGGCAACCCAGTAGGAGGCAAAGTATCCCAAAAGCAGGTAAAGGCATCAGAAACAGTCCCTGCTCCCTCTGTTAGGAACCCTACAAAAAATAAAGTTATACAACTATAGCATATGCAGATGGCCTAGGTCAGTCCCATGCTGACTCCCTGGCTGTTGGTTCAGTCTCTGTAAGCTCCTATTTGTTGATTCTGTGGGTTTTTGTGTGGTGTCCTTGATAGTTCTTACAATCCTTTCTCCCACTCCTCTAAAGGATTCACTGAGTTCTGCCTAATGTTTGGCTGTGGAGCTCTTTATCTGCTTCCCATCAATTGCTGGATGGAGCCTCTCTGATGGTGATTATGCCAGGTTCCTATCTATGAATATGGCAGAATATCTTTATGAATCATTTAATTTACATTTTCGGGGTTTGTTTGGTTCTATCGCAGGATTCTGGGCTTTCCAACCTCTGATTTCTGATTCTCCAGGCAGTGTCAGGGATGGGCTCACTCTCATGGCATGGGTCTCAAGCAGGACCAATAATTGGTTGGCCATGCCCATAATTTCTGTGCCACCTTTACTCCAGCACATCTTGCTGGCAAGATAAATTTTAGCTCGAAGGTTTTGTGACATAATTGGGATCCCAATCGCTCTCCTGGAGGCCTTGCCTGGTTATATGAGACAGCCAGTTCAGACTCTACATCCCCCATTACTAGGAATCTTAACTTGGGACACCCTAATAGATTCTTGGGAGTTTTTATTGCACTAGGTTTCTTATCTTTCCCTCGAATTGTCACCCACCCCCACAATTCCACTTGGTTCTTCCAGTACTCCATTTTTCCCTCCCACAGGATCCATCCTGTTCCTATGCCCACATGCCCCAAGTCCACCCACAATATCTGTTCTATTTTCTTTTCCCAGGGAGATTTATTCATCTACCCTTGAGTCCTTCTTGTTACTTAGCCTTTCTGGGTCTGTGGATTTGTAGCATGATTATCCTTTACAGTTAATATCAGCTATAAATGAGTGCATGTCATGTTTGTCTTTCTGGGTCTGGGTTACCTCACTCAAGATGATTTTTCTAGTTCCATCCTTTGCCTGGAAATTTCATGATGTCATTTTTTAAACAGTTGAGTAAATCCATTGTGTAAATGGATGACTGTCACGTCTGCTTTTCGGCCTGTGTCCGAGAACGTGCGGAGGGTGTCAGGGATTGACAACACAGAGACTTGTTCAACAATGTAAAGAAAACTTTAAGCAGGCCCCAAAAAGGTTCAAGAAAACCTCCTAAGAAAAGCTCCCACCAGAGAAGCTTCTGCTCTCTCCTCTACCCTGTCTGGTTCTGCTCTGACCCCAGAGGTGGATGTGTGTGTGTTTTTAAGGTGCGGTTAGTCTTTGGACAAGGTCGAGGTCAGGGCGGTTTCCATGGGAAGGCCTTTTCCAGGAACTTATTGTATCGTTTTTAGTAAACATGTTTTTACTAAACATTGTCTTACAGCTGCCTACTCCCAGGCAGAAGGGGAAGTGGGTCTCTCCTCAAGGTCTGGTGTTCCCACAGATGACATTCTTCATTGAGTGTTATCTAGGTTGTTTCCAGTTTCTAGATATTATGAATAAAGCTGCTATGAACACAGTTGAGCTAGTGTCTTTGTGGTAGGATGGAGTGTTCTTTGTGTATATGTCCAGGAGTGGTATAGCTGGGTCTTAAGGTAGATGGATTTCCAATTTTCTGAGGAACTGCCATATTGTCTTCCAAAAGGGCCGTACAAGTTTTCACTCCCACCACAATGGAGGAGTGTTCCTCTTTCTCCACATCCTCACATGCATGAGCTGCCACTAGTGTTTCTAATCTTAGCCATTCTAATTGTAGTAAGATGGAATCTCAGAGTTGTTTTGATTTGCATTTCCCTGATGGATAAGGATGTTGAACAATTCTTTAAGTGTTTCCTGACCATTTGAGATTATTCTGCTGAGAATTCTGTTTAAATCTGTACCCCCATTTTAATTGGGTTACTTGTTTCATTGATGTCTAGTTTCTTGAGTTCTTTATATATTTTGGATATCAGCCCTCTGTCAGATGTGGGGTTGGTGAAGATCTTTTCCCATTCTTCAGGCTGCTATTTTGTTCCATTGACAGTGTCCTTTGCCTTACAGAAACTTCTCAGTTTTATGTGGTCCCAATTATTAATTGTTGATCTTAGTTTCTACGCTCCTGATGTTCTATTCAGGAAGTTTCTCTTGTACCCATGGTTCAAGGGTATTTACCACTTTCTCTTCTAGTAGGTTCAGTGTAACTGGATTTATGTTGAGATCTTTGACCCACTTGAACATGAGTTTTGTGCAAGGTAACAGATATGGAGTTGTTCACATTCTTCTACATGCCAACATCCAGTTATGCCAGCACTATTTGTTAAACATGCTTTTTTCTTTCTTTTTTGATTATATAATTCTAGCTTTTTTAAAAAAATAAAAAACCAGGTGTCCATAGGTATGTGGCTTTCTGTCTGGGTCTTTGATTTGATTCCATTCATCAACCTGTTTGTTTTTATGCCAGCAACATGTGTTTTTTACTACTATAGCTCTGTAGTAGAGCCTGAAATCAGGGATGTCAATATCTCTGGAAGTTCTTTTGTTGTATTTGGTTGTCTCAACTATCCTGGATGTTTTTGTTTTCCATATGAAGTTGAATATTGCTCTTCCAAAGTCTACAAAGATTTGTGTTGGAATTTTGATGGTGATTGCATTGAATCTGTAGATTGACTTTGATAGGATTTCTATTGTTACTGTGTTGA